GGTGGGTGGGGGGCGCTTCTGGTCCTCCTGGCACAGAGCCTCTAAGTGCTAACACTGGGACAGTTGGTGTAGCCTTGCTCGGAGGTGTGTGCGCCTCCTGGTGGGCAACAGGAAGGACAGGGCACTCACTGGAGGTCAGGTGTATCTGCCTCGGATCCCTGAGGGCCTATGCTTTTCCCTGAGTTACCCTGCCTTGTGTGAAGAACTGGGTCAGCGTGAAAGCCCTCCAGAGTGAACAGTGACAGGTTATGCGCCCTCCCGCCCCGTTTTGTTGTGTGCACCCTTGAGTTGACTCCCAGTCACGGCGACAGCGAAGTGCTGCCCCACAGGGTTTCCCACACTGCAGTCTTCACAGCGGCGGCTCACGAGATTGTCAAGAGCGGCTGGTGGGATCAAACTGCTCACCTCCTGGCTAGCAGGTGAGCCCGTAAGCACCAGAGCTCCTGATCCACAGCTTTCCTGGGAGCTAAATGCTTTTTGTTGACTCCTGGGGTCCAGGTGAGCCTGAGAGCTTCGTCATCTGAAGCAGTCACGGACTCTCGAGAAGTCCTCTGTGCTCAGTCCCAGTGAACAGTTCCTTGTTCAATGCCCCTGGCGGGCTTCCTGAGGACCTGTTCTGGGGGGGCCTGAGCCCCAGCCCTGGCTACCCAGTTCCTTACAGATTTCTTCCAGACTTCCTGGCTGGGAATTAGTATCATTAATTTTGGGCGTGTGATGATAGTAACTCAGCTCGCTGCCCATGGAGTTGAAGCCGGCCTCTCGGGGTCCTATAGGACGGGTTGGAACCTCCACCCGAGTTGTCTCCTCATGGGAAGAGGAATTCCGCCTCCTGATGACAGCGAGGTCTCGGCTCAAAGACGAAGACCACTGGTGAAAAGCTGCTTGATTGGTGTCTGCCTGAGTCCCCGACTCTCTGCCCCCACCTCGTGAGAGCACATGGGAGGCTAGGGCCAGGGGGAGGCCTGCTTCACTGAGGAGCTAGAAAGGACAGTAAGGTTTCAACAGGGGAGCTCGCAAGGCATTTAAGGCAGAAAGACGTAGGCAAAACCTGGAGGTGGGCAGACAGAGAAGTGTCTGCACAGGGCTGGCTCAGGGAATAGAGTGTAAGGGGCCTTCGAGGCGGGACCTGTTGGGGTATCACCTCCACCTCTGGCTGGATCGCTCAGAGAAGGTCCAGTGACAGGGTTCTGAGGCCCCACCGCCCCTGCCCATCCTCACAGCCGGCCAGGATCGCATGAGGAGGGCTGTTTTCAGGTGACTGGTTTATTTCCAAAGGTAAGATGCAGCACATAGGAAAATACACATGGCTTTTCAGTCTACATTTTCACAGAGAAAATAGATTCTGTCATTGGCTCTTTTCGGGGATGTCATCCCATCCTGGGAGGCTTCAGGATGGACGGCCTGCCCCCAAGATCCCACTGTCAAAGTGGCAGCTTGGCCAAGGCCCCTGGGGGGCGGCAGGAAGGGGAGTGAGGGGCAGCAACTCCCACGGGGGAAGGGGAGCACACGAGCAGGACTCACTGCAAAGCTAAGGCAAAGAACAGAGCTGGTGGGAGGTGCCTCCCACCCCCACCCCGAGGACACGGCTTGCTGTGGCCCAGGCCTCAGGCCAGGCGGAGGGTGGGTGGGGCTGGCCAGCTTGGAGCAGCAGCAGCAGGATCTTGTGTGCGTGTGTTTGGGGCGCATGCTGAAGGGGCAGCCTACCAGGGGACGGAGGGGCTTTAGCTCGCACACTGCCCCCGCCCAGCACAGCTCCCAAATCATGGTCCCCAATCCCATGTTTGGCCCCTCCAAGCATCAGCCCCACTTTGAGTGCTCAGGGCCCTTCCACCTTCTTCTCCCTGCATACAGTCAGTGCAAAACCTCCTTGGGACCAAGTCCCCAAATCCCCCGCACCCTGCCCCAAGGCTGCAGGGAAGGGAGGCGGAGAGGGCGCTAGCTAGGGGCCTCGCCCAGCACTGGGAATTCCTTGCACATCTCTTGGACAATCATGCGGTCCATCTGGCACTGGGGCGAGGCTTCCTCCTCGGCCAGGATGCGGCGCAGCGTGGCCTGCAGGTCCGGCAGCCGGTGGCGGTGCTGCAGGTAGGGTGTAGAGCGGACCATGGCGTGCATCAGGGAGAGGTATTCCATGCGCAGCTGTGGGGAGAGCAGGCTGACTCAGGTGGGCCCTGCCATTGCCGCCAGGCAGGGATGGGCCACACCATTGTCCCAGGGCCGTGGATCAGCTGACACCACGGAACACCTGGGCTGGCTGCAACCCTGGCTCTCAGAATGTCCCCGGCATGGAATTGGACCTCAAGAGCTGCTGGATGAATGGGGCGGGGCCAGCCCAGCGAGGTCCTGGCTCAGAGAGGTGGCAAGGAACTGACCATCATTTAATGTCGGGGTCCCTGAGGTGCTGCTGCGTGTGTCGGTCCATGGCCCTTCACTCGATGGAAAGATGCACCATCGCCAGGGCTTCAAGTATTGCCCAAGTCCCACCTCTGACCAGGGGCACCCTGGGAGGGCATCCTGCAGAACTTCAACTGAGGCTAGCTGGAGCCGTCCTCATGCTGGGTCCAGGGCTCGCTGCTGCTGTTGCTGCTGTTCATAACCAAAGGCCCGGCCAGAAGCCCGGATGTCCTCGCAGCCCCTCTCCCTTCACCTAGATCCAATCCCCCCTTGACAGCCTGGCCACCTAGTTGAAGGCATCCTACCACCCTCTCCAAAGTCCCCACTCCCACCTATGGCTCCTACAACTCCACACCCAAGCTCCTCTTCGTCCCCACTGGCACCTCCAGTGCACTGTCCCCCCACTTTCACCATCTCTCATTGTGCTTTCCCCTGGACAAGATGAACCCGTGCCAAGGCCTGCTTTAGACAGCATCACCCTGCTAACTCCCATCCTGGTCAGACTAAGGCCCTTGTACATTCAGGGCTGGTGTTGGAGGAGCCCACAGCAACAGCGCGTGCCACAGGCCCAACCTGGCCTCGCCTGCAAACCACAGATGGATGGCCAACGCCCCCGGGCACCCGCAGCGCCTCACTGCAGCTGCTCTCCTACCTCGTTCCCCTTTCCCAAAATGGAACTTCCTGACTGGGTGGATGGGCTCTTGCTCCTGGAGAAACCGAGGGAATCTTTTAGAAAGCCACCTTTGAGCCAGCTGCCCTGGCTCCCAGCAGGGTCTTCTCATCCACAAGGCCCGGCCCCTGTCAGTTGTCACTTCTCCACGCCCATTGGCCAGGGGGACCAACATCTCCCCCGCTGCAAGCACCCTCCTGGTCCTCCTCCATGACTCCCCATTTTTCTGCTCCCCTTTGAGCAAAACTCACAATAGGAGTCTCCACTGATGCCACCCCCATTCCAAATCCCATTATGGCGTGGGGCTACTAATTGCAACTCCTGCACAGGGAGCTGCAGTCCAGGAAGCTCACAGGGGTAGCTCTACCCTGTGCTATGGGGTGGGAATCGACTCCGTGCCAGTGGGTTTTCCCCTCTCCTCTCCTGACTTCAGTCCCGCAGCCCCCTGCACCCCATCTCCACCTCCCTTTGTTCTTGGCCTGGAGACAGGAGCTCTAGTGGTCGGAATTCCTCCTGAGTTCCGGGCCTACTCATGGTCACATGCTTCCTGCTGATGGCACACTTCTGCCAGGGCAGCTCTCAAAGGCCCCTACTTCCGCGGGCCCAGACAGGCTGCCTCCAGATCTGACGGGCATCGTCTTAATCTGGATATGTTCAAATCCCCCCCCTCTTACTCCACTTCCCCTTCACATCAGCACCTTCACCACTCCGTTGCTCAGTACAATTTTTTCCGTGGCCTCTTGGACGCTCCCTTCTCCCTTGGCCCGCACCCTGTCTGATGCCTGCTTCCAATCCGCCCCAGGGCAGCTCCTTCCACCAGGTGCGGGGGCCCACGCCAACCCAGCGCTGAGTCTCAACATCCTATCTCCGAATGCTCAGCCTCCAAGGCTGACCGCCCCCGACATCACCCCTCCCCGCTGGCTGGCTCCTTTGGGTCTTGGCACAACTGTCACCTGGCTTCTGAACCCACCTGATCTGGCAGGCCCTCCCACACCCCACACCCACGTACCCGCCTGCCACCTCTGTTTGTTCCGTTCCCACATGGGAAATGGCCTGCCTGCCCACAGCCCCTTGGGCACCTTGTCTCCGGGGGACAGGTCGGCGAGGAGCCGCACGGTGATGTCGATGAGCGCCATCATGTCTGTGTGGTAGAAGATGGCGGCCGTGGCGGGGCTGGCAAACACGTCCTGCAGGAACTTGAGGATGGAGTGTGGTGGCTGCGGCTCATGCTTGAAGATGCGCACGGGGTCATCTAGAGGGCAGAGGTCACCGGGGTCAGGGTAGTTCCCCAAGAGGCCTTCCCCCAGTCACCCCAAGGGGTCTTGGGGACCATGCAGTCACAGGCATTGAGGTGGCACCGAGGGCCGTCTGAGCCCCTCACCCCCTCTGTTGAGCAGCAGCAGCAGCTTCTCTGAGAAGACCTTGACGTTGGCGTGTCTGCTCAGGGCGGCCATGATGACGTTCTGGTCAGGGGCTACAGATGCATGGGGCATGAGACTGCAGTGCCCCATGAGCTCGCCACCCTCCGCCCCTCCCCTCCCCTCCTCTCCCCCGACCTGGAAGGTGCAGGTTGAGAGCCAGTAGCAGGTTCACACAGAGGTCCGGCAGCTGCTCCGCTGTGTCCAAGGGCAGCCCGTCCTCCACCACGCTGAGCAGGAACTGGGCGAAGGGTGTGCCCAGGTGGTCTGGGAGAGGGGCACACAGGGGTCTGCTCTCTCCGCCCCATGCCACCCGGCCTCCTGGGCACATGGGTCAGTTGTTCCCATCGGGCTGGCCATGGGTAGGCACCCTTCTTACCGTAGTGTGCGTACGGCACTGACTCGCCCATGGAGAAGACCATGGTCAAGATCAGGGCGGAGTAGCAGAGCTTCTGGTGATCTGGGCAGCAAGGCAAGACAGGCAGGCGGTCAGCGCCCCCAGCCCTGGAGGGACCCCCCCACCCGGGCAGGAAGGCCGCCCCGTCCCACCTTGCGTGTCTGTCTGCATGTCCCGAGCCAGCTCCACCGGCAGCACAGACGACACGAGCGTGGAGATGATGGCTGCGTCCAGGCTGCACATGGCCCCGAAGCACTTGAGCAGTAGCAGCCGCAGGGACACCCGGTGCTCCTGGTGGAGGGACCCTGTATGTTCAGCATGGGCCCCCCGACTCCACCGCCCCCTTGCCCGGGTGCCTCTGAGCCCTCCCCTCAGTCTCACACACACACCATTTGGTAATAGGCCACCAAGGCCAGGACGGACTCGAACCCATTCCTCTTGCACATTTTCTTGCAAACTTCAGGGTCCGCGTCAGTCTGTGGGGAGGAGAACGTGTGACTGGGGGTGGGAGGGAGTGCTGAGCAGAGATCCCGAGCACCAGAGACCGGGGCTGCGGGGTGTGCTGGGGACCTGTGGGGGCCACCCCGCACCCCCCTCCCACACCAGAATGTGCAGCAGTTCCTCCAGATAGCAGCGGATGACGCCCTCGTCTTCATACAGGGCCCAGCTGCGCTGCTGGGCATCATCCTTCCTCCGGGCCAGGTCAGCGAAGATCACCTCCAGCCGCTGTTGGTCGTGGCAGACCTGCCCCGAGGGCAGGGCCGCGCTCAGGTCCTGCAGGGAGAGACAGGGCTCAGCACACGCCCTGCCTGCCGGGCCAGGTCCACTTCTGACCTGGACCCGTGGGCCTGGACCCTGTGAGCACAAGTCCTTCAAGGCTCACAACTGGAGAGGGCGCTCGGCCAGACTCCGAGATCACTGGCAGCGGCTCCCGGCTGGCCTCAGGCGAGGGTTGCCCTGGTTAGTGTTCTAGGAATCATGAGGGGGCAGGACCTTGGCTTCCCGCTGCCTCTCCCCCCACCCAGCCCTGCCCCCTGCTATTGCTCCTTACACTACTCCCATCAAGCTCCCCACACAAACTGTCTCTTGGGGGCTGGCCCAGTTCCGAAGCACCTCCTCTCGTGCTAGCCCCAAGGCTAGCCCCAAGGCCTGACCTCAACGACCACCCGTCAGGGCCCTGCAGGAGCTGCACCAGCGACCACCACGTTCCCCATTGACTTACCTCCCGCCCCAACCCAACCCAACCACACTCACTGCCATCGAGTCACAGTGGCCCTATAGGACAGGGTAGAACTGCCCCTGTGATTTCCCCAGACTGGAACTGCTTAATGGAGGAGAGCCCAGTCTTTCTCCCTCTGAGCCACTGCTAGTTTCAAACTGCTGACCTTGCATGCAGATCACAGCTCAACATGTAACCACAACATCCCTGGGGTGCCTCTCTCACCCCAGACGTGGACAAACACCCTGAGGGCAGCCACACACCCTGTCACTGCCTGGGGTGACAGTGATTTCATTCTAAACATAGTGGCCACCAGGCCCGCTGCCCACCCATCTCCTTGAAGACTGCTCACATGCCCAGTAAAGGCCACCCACTGAGCAGCCGCCCTTCATGCCTGCAACCAGAGCAGGAGCCAGCAGGCACGGAAAGGGGGCCCTGTGCCTTGTGTAGGGTCCAGTGCCTCCCAGACCTGCCCCCTGACCAGTGTCCCGGCCTTGGCTGACCCTCATGGCAGAGTCAGCAGCCAGGTCTCCATGAGAGCCCCTGAAACACCTGTTTCTCTCCGAGGCCGAGGCCACAGGCATTGTCCTCACTCAGACAGGGCCCTGGCCACCCTCACCTTCCTGGGTCTCCTCTCTCTTCCCTGGCTCCAGCACCCCCCATGATCTAGCCAGGATGGCTGCCTGCTGCCCGTAAACCCAGCTCAGCCCGGGCTTATAGCCCCTGTTCCAGCTGAGCCTCTGCCTGGCACACCTTGCCACTTCAGCCCTGCAGGGCTTGGCTCAAAGGCCCCAAGTGCCCGGCAAGAGCCAGACCCAGAGCTGGAGTAAACAGGAGCTTGCCTAGTCAGGAGGGTGGGGGTGGGGTGTGCCCCTCACCTTGCCCTCCACGAGCGAGAGGAGGACCTGCTCCATGACCGGGGAGGTGACTGGCACAGCAGCCTGGATGTGACCCACCACAACGCCGATGGCCACGCGGCACAGCTCGTGGCTCAGGCCGGTGTTTCTCCGCACCAGCTCCATCAGCTCTGCCCCAATGCTCTTCGGCACGGCCGACTCAGCCACTGTCTTCTCCTCGGTGGGCCCCAGGTTCAGTGATCCCAGGGCCACTGGCTCATCAGTGGTCACGGCTGTGCCCACTGCTACCTCCTCTGCCGGGGGCTCAGGGGTTGGTGCCTTGGGTGGAGAGGACTGGGCCTGGGAAGCAGTGGTGTGGGTGCCTCGGCGGGGCACTGGCGGGGGTGTGGGTGAGCAGCTGGTGCCCGTCTCAGAGGGGCTGGAGCCGGTGTAGAGCGTGTCCAGGGAGGTGCTGCTGACCGAGGAGCCACTGGACACGGAGCTGGCCCCTGCGGGTGTGAGGATCTGGCTACCTGTGGGCAGAGAGAGGAAGCCCTGGTGGGGCAGCCCTAAGGGCTCCTGCCCCGGCCCTATCTCCCACCCAGCCCAGTATTCCCAGGCACGCCAACACAGTCGGGTCCCCCGCGTCCCCTACCCCTCCAGCCTTCTCACCACTCCCCAAGGCCACCAGAGCCTCTCGGTCCCGGCGCTTCACAGGTGGGGGTGGCGTGGTGGGTGCCGCTCGGCGAGGCTGGGGCGGGATCTGGGAGGGCGGAGAGGGTCTGGGTGTTGGACTGGCTGGGCCCTGACCCGAGTAAGCACCCTTCAAGCCTCTGGACAAAGCCTTCAGCACCACACCCTCCCCCGATGCCCTCACCACGTACCTGGTAGAAGCCTCCATCGGCCCCCACATACTCTGAGCTGGGCAGGCTGTGCTGCCGCTCGAAGCCGGTGCGACACACCCCATTGGGCTGCCGGGCGGCGGCAGCAGCAGCGTCCAGATGGTGGTCGCTGGTGGACGGGGTCATGCCTGCGGGGCTAGAGGCCGAGGGGCCTCTGCGGGACAGGGTCTCTTTCCGGTGGTAGATCAGCTTCCTATTGGAGGGGGCACACCTCACAACTCATATGCTCCCCGTGGGATGCTGGGCTCCC